TAGTGAAAAAATAGGGTGGTTTGCATTAATATTAAACATAACTGGTTGAAGACTGTACCACCTCAGACAATCGTGACCATGGGACCTGTAAAGGGCCCGAAACGTCAGCTTGTTTGAAAAAACAAATATACGCGATTTAAATCCGGAAAAAGAGTTTCATTTCCTATGTGTAACAATCGCGAAAACCTAAGAACTCGATAGTGTTCAACTTCCTAATCGTTAACCTGTATACGGTAACATGCATTTTAGCATAATTTAAAAGAGTTTAACATCTCTTTATTCGAAATTACATACCAGCGTACAGCCCTTGTAGCACAAAACACCATTTTCTTCTCTATTTCATGTAACGATTACGTACCGGCACTGTTTTGTGGTCGCGATGTAATCTGTCGAATCATCTTTGTCATTAAGCTGCCAAATTGTTCCTGCATTCTAAATCTTAGTGTGGTCGCCAAAGCCTTTTTATTGTACATATTAGCGTTGGTAATAAAGTCTCCCGGTTCGTTTTTCTTATTTAGGGTGTATTTTAGTTCGGTTGTATACCCTGATTCGGTTGAGATTTCTTGGCTGTCGTCATACGACGGTCTGTCTGAGTTCTCCGTTTTTTTGTGTAATTCTTTTTGGAAAATATAATTATACTTTTCATTATATTTATATAACAAATCTTCATTCAGGGTGTCGTCGTCTCGTTTTTCTATGTTTTTAGATTTTAGAATTTGCTTTGGAAGGTACGCTAATTTTAATGCAGCTACAGAGCTCGACTCGTCAAATTCGTCCATGACCTCGTTTTTATTGAAATTATTTAAGTTCGTGTTCAACATATTTTTATTCTTATAATCTAATACGTCTAAAGGTTCATATTTTGTTAAAATCATGAAATCTGGCTTGGATATAGGGTCAGGATTCGTTATTAGATCAACTACCTCATTTAAATGTTTACGTGTGTCTAAATATTCCTGGTTGTCATTTAGTTTCTCTATATCTGAATAATTTGGATTATATTTTGTATTCCAATCATCCGTATTGATATGATCTATATTATATTTTTCATCTAGATACTGAAGTTCATTCATAATATCCGTTTCATCTGGTAAACTTAAAAATTCCTGTGTTTTTTTATGGTTTGGGTGAATTTCGTAATTAAGATTATCTTTATGGTTGTGAACATGTTTGGTTACGATATCTGGATGATATATGTGTCCAGAATTCTTCACACGTTTTTTTCTACTGCCCTTACTTTTTAAATAATCTTTTAAATCAACGTGTTTCAATTTGTTAGACTGTCCAATTTTCTTTAATGGCTGAGATATTAAGTGTTCGATCGCAGTATCAGATTTACTTTGAATGTAGGATTCATTCAGCGTGAAAGTTGAATAGTGGTCAAACATTATATTCTTTACGATTACGTTATGTCGCGCGTTAAATTTACTACAAATTCGTACGTATTGGGATAATCAGTTATATCCGCAAATTTTATATGTACTTATACGTCTTCTTATTCCTGAGGTAGAATGTTGAAATTGTTCGTTTTGTTCAACATTTTCTGATAAACTGTTATCATTATGTTTTATACATTTAATCACAGTGAGCGTAAAGTATAATATCATTGGTTAATCATGTTTTGCATTTCACATATTGATTGAATTTAAAGTATATCTATGAGGTATCTAAAGTTACTAGTTTGATGAGGATTAACCTAAATGTATTATAAAATAAACAACTGAAAATTAAGTATAAATCAAAATCATACGCTTCTTTTACTGCGTTTGGCGGGGTGAATATCTTTTTATATAGATATTGCTATAAATATATAATTTTTTCGAAAGTATAGGTTAATAACTAAAAATTTTAAGTCAAATATGTATTTTTGAGTTTCAAAGGCTTTGATATAAAGTCATACAGCCTATTCTTAATTACACACAATAATGAGTTTCTTTCATATATTTTTTAATATCTTAAAACCTGTTATTAGGTTTAGGTGGTGCAATGTGAAGAAACAAATCCCATACGGATAAGTACCTTAATGGTAATGCCCATCACCATCGTAGCGATCCTGCGAATGCGGGATTAATTAGTAAGTGAGAGTAATTAGTGTTCAGTGTCATCAGGCCAATGATAGGCCACATGTTTCGTAGTGAGACAAAAAAATAAGATCCAATTTCAAAGATGAAACTTCAAATACTTTGTTCTTCTTCGAAAACTCTTTCACAATAAAAGTCATTACAATGGACAAGTAAAGTTGATAGAAATGCAAGCCACATATTCTTAAATATGAAGTCCAGATCAGAGCGCTATCATATTCCTCTGACGCATGCTGAAAGCACCGTAGCGCATGCAGTTGCACATGCGTTAAAGTGGATGGACAACAGAACATGCACGCCGATGGATGGACACGTGCAACCGTGCATACGCTTGACGCAAGAATAATTGAAAAACACGGTCTATGGACATGAAAGCGCACTGATTTGAACTTAGCTTTTTTGGTACGATGGAATCAGAGTAGTTAAAATGTAAAATATTTGAAACACTTACCGCCAGAAAGATGCAACACCAAATTAAGAGGTGATTTCAAACCTCTTTGGTAAAAAAAACAAAGCTTTTTGGCGAAGTCAAGAATATTGAAAAATTGACGAAAGCTCAAAATTCGTGGTTTTATTTTTATTTTACATATTTTACTTTCTTCGAGCCTTTAGTTAAAGGTGCCATTATTTTGTTTCATATTTATTAAGATCACAATATTTTCAATCTAAGTTCGTTGTAAGTATTTTTTGTTATCAGAAATATAACTAAGTATGTGTTAAGCTCTTCATTAACTGCTTTGAAAGTCATGAAATTTAAAATCCTAAATTTACCAAACGCTACTTCAAAACTTCAAATTAAATTACTTGTAGACTTCTGGAAAATATATAGAATTTGTCAAAACATCATTTTAAATCGAACTTTAGTCGTTCGCTAAAAGTGGTGTTCATGTTTAATGTAAGTTTCGACGAGATTAAGCAGACCTTATGTCGAGGCGTGTACAATTAACATGTAGCAATTCAGTCTCAAAGATACCTTTACTTAACACGAGTTTTCCTTGTGTTGAAACAAATCAAAGTAAGTACACTAATGATGATTTGAATGACTCCGTCATTGTTGCAATGATATCGTATTTTCAAATTTAATCCCATACTGCAAAAGACTTAAGTGGAATACAAAACAAAATTTAGACTCATGTTCCGATAGCATACTTAACTAATCTCCTACCTTTGGGATAATAAAGCCACATGTGGTTATACGTCAAAAGAGCTTTTATCACTCTAAAGTCAAGGAAATTATTCGAACTACATAAAACAAATGTGAACATCGACTACTTCTGTTCGTGGAATTTTTAAACTTCTCTTCTCAAAAGTTGTCATTTTACAGATGTAACCATATTACACCAACTACCAAACATTGCAGTTCCCAAATTTGCAGACAAATTACAAGGGGAGTATAAATATATAACTAAACACAAAATTATTCATCAAAATATGGATAAACAATATGATAATTTAGATTATTCTAGTGGTAGGGAATACGTAGACCAAAAACATACATTAAGCAATACTATTGAATTAGAAAACTCGTTAATACCACAGGAAATGATAAATTCCAAAGACGCTGATGGTAACGATATTGGAAATATGTGGAATGCATTAGGACACATAAACAGAACAAACGTAGGCGTTAAAACTAGGTCTAAGATTGAAAATAATTACGATTTAGAACAGGAATATTTAAACGAATATGTAAACAAACTGGATAGCGTTACACAGGAGGATAGAAACCAAGCATTTGAAGCAAACATAGCGGAACATTTCAACAGTCTAGAGAACATGTACAGGCCAGAAAAAAACATTCACAATAACATAGAGAAACTTAAAAATTACCGTGATAAACATTTCATAAGAGCTCGCAACGTAATCAACAATTTAGTGACAAAAGGCGGGGATACGAAGGAACTAAATTTATTTGATCACTCGTATGAGCCTGTAGGCATACGCGAAGCCAATTCTAATGAACAGGATAGTTGCATGGTTACAACCCTTAGAAGAGAAGGAAACAATTACGCCCGAAAATGGGAGTCTTTTAACACCACTCACGAGGAGAACTCCGCGACGGAAGCCACATATGTTGTAATTGAATCGTCTGGTATCGAAGGAGTGCTAAGAGGAGGCAATTCAGGTTTGTAGTTATGGAATTAAACCTCAATGTTTTCAATAGTATCAAAAAACAAAACATTGTTACTTACTAGCGTTCATTTAAAGTCAATTTCTAAAGTAAATTTCTAATGTCACTCATTACAGCACTGCATCTTTTTGTTTTTATTGAGACTGCTTAATTTTATTGACTAATGGTTCTTACCGAAAAATTACGATTTCATTTATATATGGAAAGATTGCACAAGTAGTCTATTTAATAATTTGTTTCATGATTTTTGTTTCATCATCGATGGTCGTAGTCGAAAATATCAAAAGTAATTTTTTTTTAAAACACTTAAACTATCATGACAGGTTTAACCTAATGCGATAGTAAAGCAACAAATTATGATTACTAAACTTTTACACCTACCATTACAGATTAATATATATAACGCACACGCTCAACATAGCCCCGCACTAGGGAAACCATGTGTCGCGAGTGCCTTGGACACACTAATAAACAACTACAAATGACACCCAAACTCACGAGAGAAACAAGTAGGCCATACAAATATTTCTCCCGGCCTCGGAATCGCACCTGGGACCTCCGCGTGGCAGTCCGGTATTATAACCGTTCGGCCACGGAGGCAGTTAAGATGTATTTCCTTAGATCATAGTGTAATTGCCTAACTAGTTTGAAGCATGTCAACAATAAACAAACTCACTTAATATGTGCCACTACATGAAATTTTACAACATGCAGCCTGTGAGAATTCATTCATAGAACAATTGAACAAATCGATGTCGTTTGACACCGCGTTGAGTGCACGCAGCGCTCTCATGAGGGGCGCATTGTGCAGGTTGGTGCGCGCGCGACACACCCACAGCAGCGGCGGCTGCCGACGTCGCCCTACGTATTCGTCAGGTACATACAGCTGGGTTGTGTATTTTACCACGTATCACTTTCAATAAGTAAGTGGCGAGAGCTACTTCTCTTGTTACTTCCAGTTTATAATGTAAATGTGGCGACCAAATAACAGCGTTGCATTCGAGAGGACTTTTTACCTGGACCTCATATAATGCTTTTTGCATTTGCTTTTTCTTATATTTGTGAAGTTATTTGACAAACGTAACACCAATCCCAGATTGCGGTACGCTTTTTTACATACATCAATGATATGACTCCGAAAATTAATGTCGCTAGTGAAGCTCACTCCTAAGTCCTTAACCTTAAATACACGCTGGATCGGGCGGCGTTCTGTCTATGTAGTATTGATGGTGACTTGGGCTGTTCGCACGGCTGAATGATAACACAGAACATTTGGTTACATTAAAATATTATTTATTATAAGACTCCACTGTACGATCCTATCAATGTCCTGCTGCAGCATGATCTGCCCTCTGAGTTATTTTTAGAATTAATTTCCAGTCATCAGCAAATAATAAGGGTGTAGCGTTATTGACTACTTTCGGTAAGTCATCGATCATTAAAATGAAGAGGAGAGGCCCTAAATTACTGCCTTCACTGACACCTGAACTAGTAACGTAAAGTTCGGAAAGCTGTCCGCCACAGTCAACGTATTGACATCGATTTCGTAGGTAGCTGGCAAAAAAGGACAGGGGGTGCAGTGTGCAACCTACACAAGCTAACTTCGTCAGAAGGACATTATTGTTTATTACATCAAAAGTCTTTCTATAATCGAAGTAGGCCACATCTACCTGTTGACCGGCATCCACGTCGGTACTATGTGTGTCATGAGATCCGACAAGTTCCCCGCTGTCCCACGCCCAGAGCGGAAGCCATGTTGCGCGTCAGACAGCAAAGCGCTTATTTGTGGATACAGATTACTGTGAACTGTCGACTCAAAGACTTTTTAGCATTTGGAAACGAAACTTTTATAAACTGTTACAAATATGAGGTTACTTTTTATGAAATATCTTATGGCTACTCCACACTCGCTCCACAAGCCGCAAACTACTTGCGAAGTATGTCTCTTGGCGGCTTCGCGCCGTGTTCGCGACTCGTTCCCGATTGTTGTCGGTATTTTGTCCCGCAATAGAGGGATCGTGAAGCGCGAACTTGGCGTGAACGCGACAAGGCTCAACATTCGCGTTCGGCTCAGTTGCCGATAAGTAAGTGCCGCGGACGGTTGTGTTTCTACTTTATTGTTGACGATTTGGACGTGCTTGAAATAGCCGTGGATTGGACGGCCCCATATCTTTCTACATTACTTTTGATTATAGTGATCCTCCCTACCAACCCTTAGGGTATACCAGAAGGGTACTATGACCTTCGCGAGTATGCCCGCGTAGAAACCATCTAAGTCAAGTCGTAATCCCAGATCAGCCCGTTTGCACGGACTTCATCCGGTTCTCTGTAAGGCTAGGCTAGTCTTAGGTGAGCCGCCCCGGGTGCGCGTACAGCATCCTCTTTATTCTCCAGATAGGTATCGAAGCTTTAGGCATGCTCACTTCCAGTCGCGCTCTGCGCAACTGTTGTGTTGCCACCACTGAGCCGTCGACTCTAAGCCGACTACCAAATCTCCTCTTTGGTGGCGGAGCTGTAAGGCACGCTCACTTACCGACGCCGACAACGCCGTCTCTCGGCCGGAGGATGTTTAGTTACCCTCTGCTAGCTTTCCGTGCTAGTGCCGGAGATGCCGGTAGCAGTGTCCTGCGACAATGTCCGGACATAGCTAGCGACTTATAGGACAACTCAGATGCCTCGCGCGTCTCCTCGCCATAAGGCCCTCGTCTCGACCGCTAATAAGGCGCGCTAGCTGCGCGCGGGACAAACGCCCCGGTCACATGCTACAGGGGCAGACAAACATGTTCATCCCTGCAGCTAACCACAAACCTCGGCGAGTCCATACCCAAGTCTGGGTCCGCCAGAGACGCCCGTGGAGGCGTATTACTAGCTGTGGGCTCGGTCCGGATACCCGCCGTACTCTAGTCCCTATCTATCGGTAAATAGGGATTGAATTGGATTACACAAATGAACTAAAACAGAAAGTTTTAGATTTTTTATTTATAAAAGCATAATTGTAAATGGCCAATGTGCAAGGTGGTCCCGCAGCAGCAACAGCAACTTTCATCGTCCAACTTCGTCTAGCACGCGAACTATACTGTGAACCAGCACACGGCGTTCCTATAATTCCAACGAACAAATTGTGTTCTACGATTACTAGGAATTCAAACAAAAAGAAGATAGGGCTGGATTAGGTAGCCTTAGATATTATGTAGAGTTTATATTATCGTCGACGAGCTTTCAGTAACAGCTCCATTGATTCTGTTACAGCAACTTTAAATAAGTAAAGGCAAACTACTACGTGAGGCGCACTATAAGTTTCCGAAATGAATAAGAAAAAAATACTATGAATGGTACAGAAATGAATATATTGTTTCTCAAAATATTCTACGTCAGCGTTAATGCACTTTTTCATATGAATGAACCAATTTTGAAAACACTTATGCCACTCTTCCATCACAATCTCTGAAACATATTTTTCATACTCTACGACAGCCTCTTCAGGTGATGAAAATCGTTGACCTCGTAACTGGTTCATATTTTTTGGAAATAAATAAAAGTCACAAGGTGCCAGGTCGGGACTGTACGTGGGATGGCTCATAAGGTCAACGTTATTCACCTTCAAAAATTCAATTGTCTGTCTGGCCGTGTGACAACTGGCATTATCGTGGTGCAAGATATATCGGCGTTTACGGTTATTTTTACGGAGCTTGTCAATAACTTCCGGCAAACAAATGGTTGTGTACCGATTATTATTCACGGTACAACGATTCTTCAAAGCAACAGTAGCCACGTGTCCAGTTTTATTAATTAAAGAAGCAATCATCCGCTTAGAGGCAATTTGCACGCACGCCACTTTGGTTGGTTTCGGGTCATCTCGAAAGACCCATACGCTCGATTGCTGCTTTGTTTTGGGATTGTAACTATAAATACATGTTTTGTCACCTGTTACTATGTCTCACACCAAATTTGACGCCACTTCGTTGAATCTGGTAAGCATGGCATTGCACCAAGTGACGCGATCCGTTTTTGAGCCTCAGTCAAATTGTGTGGGATCCACTGAGAGCACAGCTTTTTCACACCCAAACGTTTGTGTAGTATTAGTTATATTTGCTCATTACTCATGCCTATGCCTAAAGATGTCCGAATCTCATGGTATATCACATGCCTGTCTGTTTTGATCATACGGCGTACAGCATCGATGTTTTTGTTGTTCATAGCAGTGGACGGGCGACCATCACGAAATTCGTCACTGAGATTCACACGACTACGTTTGAATTCTGCAAACTAGCTATAAATAGTCGTCTTGCATGGTGCTTTATCGCCAAAAGCAGTTTGAATCCGAGCAAAGCTCCGCTGAGCTGTTGCATTACACTTAAATTCGTAGAAAAACATACTATGGAAACTTTCGACTTAAATCCATGGTGATGTAGACAACCAATGTCTAAAATGACGCCACAATGTAAAAACAAGTGACAGTCAGATGAAACAAACTGTATTCTACAGCCAAAGAGTTCCATTTTCAAATGTTGTAATTACTTTTGTTTTTTAAATTAAATATTGTTTATGTAAGTGGCCAGTTCCGGAAATTTATAGTGCGCCCTATGTATGAAAAGTGAAATCCTTTTTTCCTGGTCCTCAAATAAATCTAATTAAAAATCATCTCATTTGCGTGCCGATAGAGTGTCAATGGCTCCGGCCATACGCATGGTATTTCATACGTATGGTTTTCTGCTAAACGTTAAGACTAGTGGCTTGTCAGTGGCTAGCCATTAAACTACTATATTTTTATTCAACTGCCTGCGCTTCTACAAGCGTCTTTGATTTTATAATACCAAGTAACGGCACGAGTAACTCTTGCGCCTGATGGTAAGCGACACGTCTGTCCATAACAGTTGCTGTGCCGGTCAGAGCTTTAAATAGCAAAGATCTGAGGGGTACTGCCACAGCGCCCGTCACCCTGAGACATAAGTTGGTCCATGTGCCTGTTATTTCACCAGCACCCCTTCAAAACCGGAACGCAGCAACGCTAACATTACTGCATCTAATTTGAACGTGTGATAGCTCAATAGTAACCATAATATCTTTTTTACAGATTCTTCAGTAGCTTATTTGTCGAAAATACTACATAATCTGCCAAGGTTCAACCCTATAAGACTAGGACTAGCTTCACGCGACTTTGATTTGTCTATTGGAAATAATTACTTACCAGTAAGTAACAATTTATTTACGTTAAATCGTAGTCGCGTCCTTCCTACATCCCCGTGGTGTTTAATACGCTATTAATTTAATGCCCCTGTTGGTATTCGTTGATATTTTATTTCTACACTTAAATCTAGGACACAACGGTGCTGTTTGGTTAACTAAGCGAGTGTTGTAACAACCATCTGCGAACAAGGCTCTCTCACTTTTTTACGCCAATCGATGTATTATTACTCTGGTATCCATTTTTATAGGTATCTCTGGATGTTATCTGTCCATCTGTTGGGTGGTATTTGTCGATCGAGGGTCTTGGCGCAGGTTTCCTCGAGAACGTCGTACCTTGCCCATCTCCACGGCCGGCTGCCTATCTCTTCCACTGACCACATAATGTCATCCGATACAATGGTGTCAATCCGAGTCCCGAACAGGACACAGGACAGTTGTGCAACATTATATATGTATATGCATATAACGATTTCTCGAACGACTCACCGTATTCAAAAATCACGTCAACCGTTAGCGCTCGGTACGCAATTAATAAGCGCGTTTGCTCACAGCGGCTGGCGCCGGCCGACCCTGCGCAAGCACATTGTACATTTGTTGCGCAACTGTAGGGTTTGTAATACTATGCTTATCTCCTCTCTAGTTCGCCAACATTATTTTATTGCAGGGAGTACTATTATACGGCTTTCCAATTTTTGGCGTCCTGGTCCTGTATCTCATGATGTGGAATAGTTTTTGCCGCCGATGCTCTAATAAAAAACAAATATTCAGACGTTGCGATATGTGGAAAGTAAAATATTATAAGGTTTGTTTTTGTATCACCAATGTCATAGCTCTTTAACGCAGTAAGATTTCGCTCTCCAAAGAATTAACAAAATAAGTAGATAGGTTATGATAGTGATTTTAAGAATATTTCGATCTTAGTAAGTTACACCTAGTAGAGTTCGTGAATACTACGGTAGTATTGCCGATTTATTCTTGGTGTGTCACAATGGTGGATCGAATGTTGTGACCCACAAAATATACCAAACTGTCGTATCTCTTTACTACCGAAAAAAATACGGAAGCTCTGGCATTCCATAATATTTTATTTCTGTTGCTATTATAACCAATGGTCCGAATAGGTTGTTCCAAATCTGTAGATAAATAAATGTCTACGTATGATACAAGGAGTGTCATTTGTCATGGTGTTATTAAAACCACCAAATGTTTATTAATTACTTTTTCGAATTTCGATGTTTTGCAAATAGTTTCACTGTATGTGATAAAATTAGTCACCTAGAAAGCTGAAGTTTGTTTCTAAAGTAAGTACGCTATGTAAAAATGCAGTAGATAACCAACTTTTCCCCAAAGTAAATATTTTTTTTAATACGCTACAAGCAATAGCTTGTTTTATCTATGATATTGGAGATACTTTTATATTCATCCATTATATAAAAGCCGTTATAGCTTAAAAACATTATATAGGTGCTCTTCTACATATTGGTGAAAATATGCAAAGTCACGGCAAGCTGGGAATAGTTTCCCAGTACTACCTACCTTTCAAAGAACAAAGTACTACCTACCTTTCAAAGAACAGGAAAAAGTTCTACAGAATGAAATTGAATAGACGCGAATAGACAATTTAAATTTATAACGCACACACACACGCACACACTCAACATAGCCCCGCACTAGGGAAACCCTGTGTCGCGGGTGCCATGGACACACACATAGACAACCACAAATTACACCCAAACTCACGAGAGAAATAATTGTAGGCCATACAAATATTTCTCCCGGCCGGGAATCGAACCTGGGACCTCTGCGTGGCAGTCCGGTAAGGTAACCGTTCGGCCACGGAGGCAGTTAAATGATGCAGTATGATTGCACGTGTAGCGTATGTTATACGTGTTGTGGGAAAATTAACATATTTTTATATTAAAGAAATGAAACTATTTTTCCAGATTTAAATCACGTATATTTGTTTTTTCAAACAAACCAACTTCGGGTACTTTATCGGTCTCATGGTCACGGTTGACTGTTGACGGTTGACGTGTGAAACCACCAACAGTTGAGCGAAGATCTGCCATTGTACCTTACGTGAGAGGTGCTACAGACAAGATCGGAACAGACCTCAGGCGTGCGTCTATCAAGACCTATTTCAAACTTACTACTCCGTACGCCGTAAAAATACCGTAAACGTCGTATCATCTTGCACCACAATAATGCCAGTTCTCACACGGCCAGATAGACAAATTAATTCTTGAAGGTGAAGAACGTTGACCTTATGATCCACCCCGCGTACAGTCCCGACCTGTTTATTGACTATTTCCAAAAATTAAGAATTAAGTTTAATTAAGATTTTCATCACCTGAAGAGGCTGTCGAAGAGTATGAAAAATATGTTTCAGAGATTGTCATGGAGGAGTGGCATAAATGTTTTCGAAATTGGTTCATTCGTATGAAAAAGTGCATTAACGCTAACGGAGAATATTTTGAGAAACAATGAATTCATTTCTGACCGTTTATAGTATTTTTTCTTATTCACTCCGGAAACTTATAGTGCGCCTCACGTATTTTTAAGCTCAAGTGGTATATTTTCGTTCGCTCAGTGTTACCAAGTTCGTACCTGAAATGAAGTTGGGGTGGGGCTGTTTTCCATTCCGTAAATTTAATATAAAAGTATCCACAATATCCGCATTGCTTCAAACAAACTTTTGCTTGTATTTTGCTTGTAGCTCGTAAACAATATTTACCTTGGAAAAAGGTTAGTTATGTATTACATTTTTTTAATGGCGCCAGTAGAATTACCATTGACCTACCAATAAATGGACGTCGGGTTCGCGGTAAAAAGTGTTCGTACCTGTAGTGCGTTAAAATCGCATACAGAGCGTCAATCGCGCAATAGTCTTCGTTTGTTCGAGTGACAGCGCGGTTGTCAATCATGCAGTACAAATAATAACTTGTAAAAATTACTGCAGTAAACTGTGAAAACAGGATTTTGTATCATATTTTTACTAAACAAATATATTGTGTTATCATAGTTGTCATTTAAAAGTGTTATTTTGTGCAGTTTTATAGTATTTAATTTGTATATGACTGAATCGTAAATATAAATTACAAAAGCACACGAAATAATGAAATAGCTAACTGTCCGTTTTCTATTCATTGCATGCGCAAAAGATGGAAAGAGACCCGTTACGTCAGTTTCAAGAAGCTTATAAACTTCTTGGTCATTTTCAATTGTTCGAACCACAAGCGATTGAAATATTTAGAACAAAGAAACTGTAGAGTTGCTTTGATGTTAATCCTATTTTTAAAATGATTTTTTTTATTAAACGTTAGCGATAACTAACATAATATTGTTGTACTCGTTTTACGGCATGGGACTGCCTATCAGAAGTCAGAAAATACATTTGCCCGAAATAACATTGGCTCGAATTTTCATAATGTGTTTTTACGAAGATTACAAAACAAAAGCTAATTTTGTCTATGTAAAAAGCATCAAAATTACTCGAAAGGGTAACGGTTTTGTTATAAATCTGAATTACGGATATTTGAGTTTACGTTTATATCGGTACATTTCTTATAGTACACGCTTATTTTCACATTTGTAGTAATAATTGTATGTATGTATCTGCCCAACTCTTTATTATACCTTTAAGTGAATTTGTACAAAATTCGACATGATAGTATATATAAAACAAATAATTAATATTTACGAGAAAGGCTATTCCATTCCTCTTGTATTCAAGTAATTTTCAGTCGAAGCTAAATATGGTGCATTTTGTTAAGTTTCCAGCAGAAGCTGAATGTGATGTCTATGGGCCCTTAAATTGTTGTAAGCAAATTTAGGCAGTACTGCAATGACGTTAGAATTTAAATTAAATGTTTTAGTTTTTTATATTTTGTTACATGTCACTACGTTTTTATAGGTTAACCTCGGACATTTTTTTTCGTGGTTTTTGTATTAGACCCAATGTCCATTTGTTGGTAGGTTAATGAGAATTACCTTAAAATCCAACTTTAGCTTCTTGGTTTTTTTTTGGTGGTGTAGCCGAAAGTTTAATGTATTTTTTTTGTATCTTGTCAATTTATTTGTCTTTTTCTTTGTCTTTTTCTTTATTGTCATTAACCTCAACTAGCCGTAATCTAACTGTAAAGTTTCTCTATGTTTCAATTTTTGAATTTCAGGCATTGTTTTCAAAAATTATGTCGATTGTTGATTTCATATTTTTCTCTAAACTGCATACTGACTAGACAGAGTATGTCCTAATAAACCAATAATCACATACCAAATATTACCGAGCAAAGTGAGAAAGAGGTTAAAAGTGGTTGAAACCTTTCAACCCCTTTCTAGTATTCTGTGATTAATTCACCGTCGACTGTGCTTTAGTATAGAATAACAATATTTTTTTGTTTTTTCAGAAAATGGTTGCGTTCTGTAGTTTTCTAAGTATTGTTGCTCTTACTACGGGAGTATATGGCGCTTATTTTACGCACAGTGATGTTTGCGCAGCGATTAGAGAGAAAATAGATCCTATCTTAGATGTATTGTCGCCGTTTTTGTTTCAGGTAATGTCAATAAAATGTAAATCAAGAATAAAGCGATTACCGCTCTGGGTCGTGGTTGGTTCAACCGGTGTGTTCATTGCCGTCTAGCGAGCCAGACACGATACAGCGTGGAATTTTATTTTAGGTCATTTTTTTGATGAAATTTGTTGGTTTTTTTTTATTTATATTTTAGTAGCTATAGATGTATGAAGCCTAAAGCTGATCTTAAGGGTGTAAATTTAACCTCATTTTAAAAAAATAAAAAGAATAAAATGTTTCAACGCGTTACTCTACTAACAATATACAGTGATTATTACTTACGAACATTTCCTGGAACAAAAGTTACTAAATATTTAACGAGCACCATCGCACATTTCACCGCATATGAACAAAAGGTGATCCATCATCTACTTTCATTTTGATTTTCAAAAAAAAACGCAACGCAAACCCTACTCTTGGTAAAGACCATCCAGCCTCTGCTGACAAATTCATCATATCAGCTTATACACAAACAGTGCTAGACTCTTCCAACACCCTAACTCTTCCGGTCTGGTGCCTCCCGTATCCAACAACAGCCAGCCACCTTACTCAGGTCGTTCGTTCATCTTGCCGCAACACGTCCTCCTATTCTATGTTTGCTTTCACGTAATCGCCACAGCTCGGTCAAATTATTTCCTTCTATCCTAATGTTGCCTGAAAGAAATTGCTACTTAGCAATAAGGCCGCCTGTTGTACATTATCTTACTCTGTGATACTTCTATTACTGTTCTGTTTTGTCATTGTAAATTTTAATGTGCAATAAAGAATATTTCATTCATTCAATCTTTTAACGAAATTTATGACCATATTTTAGCAATTGGTCAATAACGTGTAAAATTTTTAAATTTAAGAATGTTTCGTAGATTATTGACATATTACTTAGAAGAATCCTCAGAAAATAGAGTGTTCAATCGGCTGGTATTTTTCGTACTGTGTTACACTATAACGGTAGTGATGTTTCACAATTTTATTGCGTTGTTTTGGCATGAAATTCTTTATGATTTTACTTCAAAGTTTCCTATAACTATAAAAAATGAGCGTGCCATATACGACAGAAAATGTAAGTTTCGAAATTTAAAATTGATAGAGGTTTAAAGACACGCCCAAAATGCCCAAAACCACAATTCGTCGCCTCACTTTCTCAAACTCGTATTTTATAATCTCAGTACAGAGTACTAAAAAACCGACCTCAAAAGTACGCGGAATCACATATAATTACCAAATTTTATTGAAATCGGTTACCGGAAAGTGCGCAAACCGGGATTCATGCCCTAGTTCGCCACTATACGGGATTTAACACAGGAGATAACAAAAATCGGTTCTCACTACTCAAAAACGCCTTGAATTGGAGTATAGCAAAATCAACCATTAAAATAATTGCCCCTTATACCTAATAAATTTAGGCGCCATTTATCTTCATGCGTGAACAGCCACCCCTGGAGGTGGATTATTTTCTTCAAAACTAAATGGGACCACTATGGAGGTACTCTCTTTCCGACAAAAAATAATCATGAAAATCGGTTCACAAATACCGGAGTTATCGCGTACAAAACACGACAACAAAATAAACAAAATTAAATTGGAATTGAGAACCTCCTCCTTTTTTTGAAGTCGGTTAAAAAGTAACTGAAATGCAAAAAATGTGTTATACTTACATACAAATTTGCAAGATGATTTCACATGACATTTCTTTCATATTCACACACTAGATTTTACCTATTCTTAAAGTAAGGCATCTAAATTACATCCTTGATAAGAAATTTAAAATAAATTGAAATTTTTGCCGTCTCCTGAAAAATTATAGTCACTCTAGATAAGATACGTGTTTGAGAAAGGACCTAAGGCATCGCATTGTCTAATCTGTTAAACTTTTTCTAGACAGATAATTTATTAAATCAACTGCACAAAGCCTTAGACATTGCTATGGGTTTAGAAAAATCAAATACGACGACTACATATCCACATATTGAACAAATAATAAACAATTTGGAAGTTTCTGTGTCGTCATATGAACGTCATATTACCACGAGACGCAAAAATTTGACCTTATTGAAAGATGTCGAATCGTTAATTATGGTATGTATCATAGGAATATAAATATAGGTCATGTAGATTCTTGCGAGGCATCATTATTATCTTGTGGCGAACTATATTTGAATTCGCGCGGTCACAAAAGCATTTTCACCAGGACAGTCAGTGTGCCTGAAAGCGCGGCCAATAAGAGGTCACGAAGTATATAAAGTATTATTATTTTTTATAATATCAAGTGACGGAATGAACAAGTAAGCTATACGCCTGTTCATAACTCAGAGCTTTAAATCACAAAGATCTGGAGGGCCCTGCCACTGCGCCCGTCACCCTAAGACATAAGTTGACAAGTCTCACGTGCCTGTAATTTCACCAGCACCCTTAGCGCCTTGTTACACGAGCAGAAAGTTTTCTCCCAGTTGCCACGCCTTCACGTACATTAATGGCGAGTCTAAATTCTATTCACTAGGCAACAACATTTGAATTCCTCTGAATAATATAACCGCGCGGTAGCCGCATGGTGCGCCGCGTAAACTAAATTCAAGCCAGACTTGTCCGCGTGCCCGAGATGCTTATTTAAGTTAAAACGTAAAGGTTATGTAAATAGAGCGTATTTTGCCGTGACAGTTCGATGCACGCGGCAACGCGGATTCCACTCGGCGACCGCGCGGCGGCCGTGCGGTGTGAGCGCGATGTAATGCGTGTTGAATAAATGCGCCCTAACCCTATAAAACCGGAACACAGTAATGCTGACATTACTGCTTGGCGGCAGGAATAGGCAAGGTGCTCTACTGCTACGACGATTCCTCTTGTAAAAATACAGTAATAAAACCCAATATATCCAACATATATCTTTCTAATGTGTGCATTAAAAAATATACTTAATTACGTGGCGCGCATTGTAAGTTTCCGGAAAGACTAAGAAAAAAATACTATAAATGGTCAGATATGACTTTTATTGTTTCTTAAAATATTCTCCATTAGCGTTGATGCACTTTTTTATACGAATGAACCAATTTTGAAAACATTTATGCCACACTCCGTGGCCATCTCGGAAACATATTTTTCATTCTCTTCGACAACCTCTTCAAGTGATAAAAATCGATAGCCGCGTAGCTGGTTCTTAATTTTTGGAAATAAATAAAAGTCATAAGGTGCCAGGTCAGGACTGTACGCGGGGCAGACGCGCACCCGCTCCGGCGCAGACGTACGGGGAGAAGGCGAAGGCAGTTCGCTGCTCGCCTGATCCCCTAGTGAGACCAGCGGGCTCTGGACAGAGACTCCGGAGTCTGCATTGCACGGCCTCACTCGTCTGGGGGGCGGGTCGGAGGACAACTGACTCGCCCCTCCTCCGTTGGCGCGGGAGCCCTGGCGTAAGCTAGGGCGGCCGGGCGGCGTCGTGGTGAATGCTCACTGATCCCACGGCGCCGACTCAACCGGCGAGAGGGAAACCCGGGGAGTTTTAGTGGGGTAGGCCCTCCAGTTTGGAGGGAGAGTCCCCACATAACTCCTGAGTCTCCCTGGGCTCAGGGGTATCCATAAAGATTTCCCCCCGTCATAAAAAAAAAGGACTACGCGGGACCCGGGCGGCGTCGTGGTGAATCCGGGCGGCGTCGTGGTGAATGTTCACTGATCCCACGGCGCCGACTCAACCGGCGAGAGGGAAACCCGGGGGGGTTTTAGTGGGGTAGGCCTTCCAGTGTGGAGGGAGAGTCCCCACATAACCCCTGAGTCTCCCTGGGCTCAGGGGTATCCATAAAGATTTCCCCCCCGTCAAAAAAAAAAAA